AATTAAAACGACAGTACTAGCATACAAGTATCGCAAGCATTCTCGAAGTTTATAAAGAGTTCTTCGATACCACACACCTGGTGCTATTCGATTGAAATAAAACCTGCCTAATGAAGCTGATAGGGTCGATGTCCCCCAGTGTACTGCTGGAACGTACCCTGGTACTAAATGCCACTATATAATATGCCGGACAGTACCTCGCCTACTCCACTAACGAGTCTAGGGAGTCGCCTACGCCTACTCCCTAACCCTAACCCTAACCCTAACCATATCAGCTAGATAGTTACCAGGGTACGTTCCGGTATACCGTACCGTACCCAGGGTACGTTCCGGCAGTACCCTGGGGGAGATAGACCCTATGAGCCCTAGTGAAGGTGTGCGTGTGCAGGAGCGTGTGCGTACGTGGTTATGGGTGTGTGCGTGCGTAGGTGCGTAAAGTGTTTACGTGTGTGTGCGTACGTGTTTATGTGCGCGTGCGTGCGTACGTGTTTATGTGTGCGTGCGTACGTACGTGTTTGTGTGAGCGCGCGCGAGTGCGTACATACGCGTTCAATAAGTACTGTGACTCGCACACTAATTACAGCCCCATGTACGAGCCGACAAAGCTCTGTACTGTGGCAGGTATAGTTCCCTGCACGCGACCCTGACGGGCAACTGGCGTTCGAACCCCACTACGCGTCACTTTTCATCTCATTTTAAAACCGCCTAACTAGCACGCAATCGCTGCATATCATCCCTCGCTATTGGTGTCATCAAAGCTCGCATACAATTCTACGTGTAGTGTGTTGATGAGCGTCGGTGTGGACTCTTTGCTGTCACCTATTTAGAACAAAAGTCGGTTCAAATAATATGACGAACGGCTAAATTGCTCTGTCACAGTCGGGATACGTGTGCAATTAGTAGACTTGATGGCAATTAGTTATATATGCGTAGAATAGGCGGGGTTAATGCTCTGCTGCAGGAGAGAGGCACGAGGGGATTTTAGTGAGCATGAAAGAAAATGAAGAAAGAGCTGCAGCGTGTGACAGCGTGAGTCATGCCGCCCCCTCCCACCACACAGCTGCATGCCTGCAGCAGCCAACCCTCCTCCTCCTCCTCCTCCTCTCTCGACCAGAAATAGAACATCTCCCCGGCCACCCGCCACCCCCCCACCCAACCCGCCGCAGCTCCTAACCTGTCTGGGCGATACGTCTATCCGTCTTAGCGACGGATAAATACACAACCAGGGCGAGACAAAGACGGCGGGGGAGAGGGGGGACAGCGACGGAGAACGACTACGGTATAGCAGCGTAGTGTGAGAGGGAAGGAGAGAGCGTGTCTTATGTACTACCCCCCCCCGGGGGGGGGCTGGGAACCCGCGCGGCAGCGGCGGGATGGCAGCAACAGAGGAGAGCAACCCTACACTCGCACTTGGATATATATATATATATACCCGTACACCGCCAACAAAGCCTCGTCCAAAGCCCGCGTGAATGGGGCGACCAACCGTTTGTCGGTTTGCGTACGAGATTACTGCCGACGCATGCAGTGTCGTCGGCTATCCAACTCCTTCCGACGTAAATGGGCCCCGGATTGTGCCATTCAGGGTTATCCAGGACGAGTGGACAATGGTCAATTACAGCGAGTCGCGGCGGGAGCGCTCTGCCACCGCCGGCCACTACTAGTTACGGTCCGGAATTGTGCGTGGTGGGCAATGTAAACTCGGACAACCCTAACAGCTAAAGCCACTTGCTGGCCTTGGCTCTGAAGTGGTCAGTATTATCAGCAGTTCTCAGGTCGCTAGTAGGTTGGTTCTGGCTAGTAATACCCTACCCCCTCCCTGCCCTCCCCCCTCCCCTCCCCCAACTCTCCTCATCTACTGTTTCAACTAGTTTCCTGCTGTACTGCTATCCTGCGATGTCAAGGACTGCGTGCACCCTCGTGGAGGGGCCGACCTCCCAAATAGGGCACCCTAGTTGTCAGTGTCTTGTGTGTACACTCAGATAGAGGGGGGGCGACCTCCCAAACCGAAACGGGACAGCAGAACCAGGGTGCCCTGGTGGTAAAGCAGTGTACGGGATAGTACGCGTGTGTTCGGTCACGTCGCGTGGGATGGCTGGGTGATATCATCATGAAACCACGCGGTGAGCGACAGCGTAACAGCACAACTGTGCGTGCGTGCGTGCGTGCGTGCGTGCGTGCGCGCGCGCATGTGCGTGCATGAGCGGACGTGTGTACTAGTGAGCGCTTCGGACGGGTGTCCGTAGTTGTTAGAGCGTGCATATTTTGGAAGGGGAAAAAAATCTAAAAATATATATTATCTCGCCGCTCCCGATACGAAGTGCACGCACGATATTTTGCTCGCTATCTCGGCGGCTCGAAAACGCTGAAAAGGCGATCGCTTTTCAACGACCTCCTCTATGCACACGTACGACAACAGATAAACACACGCGCGCGTGATAAGTTCTCCTATGTCAGCACGCGTGATGTCAATATTCAGTCCGTGCGTGTCCGCTTACAAGTCAATAGTGCACTGTGTGCAACAGTGCACACTGTGTGACACATGACGCGTTACACGTCACCGTAACATCAAACGTCTTTCGTGAATTTTTTAAAATTAGTTTTTGAAGAGACCAGCAGGCCTACTTTTGTCGCAACGAGTGTGAAACCTTTAGACTGGACCACGCTCCTTCCTCTATCAACAGTGACTAGCAATCCTCTTTCGCAACATCCACTGTGTGTTGACAACTTGCGCAACATCATTTTTCATCGCCACACACTAGAGAAACATTTACATTCCTATTACAAGCTCTGGCATAGTCAGCTATTAAACCCCATCTAAATAATATATAATTATATTAGAAATCTGAAGAGAAATTCACGAGGAAAACGACTAGTTTGACCAGGACTAAAAGCAACTACAACTATCCCACGCACGACAACCACCATAAATGTACATATGAATATATTTATGCATCATTAAAATTCACTATGCACATATATATATGCACACGGATTTGTTGGTCTACAACAATCACGACATGACGAAAGATGGCGCTGATGTCGACTGCAGTAAAACTGCATGTTCAAAGTCACTGTGAAGATTACTCAGATTAGACAGCCGCATGCGTACAATGGGCGTGCGGTGCGAGAAAAACTGCATGTTATGTTTGCAGTGTGCATTAAAATGTTTCGTGCAAGATATGGTGCACGCCGTGTTGCTACGTGTCAAATTATGCACACAAGATGCACCACACCTAAGTAAAGTTCAGATATGTGTCAGTCTATCGCCACGATAGAAAAGTAATAGTTGCGACGTTATGACACGTGATGTCTGATGATCAAAAACAGTTCACTATCGAGTTGTTCGATAACACCTTCTGATTATTTCTTCGCACTCTACCTGCCAGGTGACATGAACTTGCCTGTTTTCATCTTCGTCGTCAAAACCCGATATTGCTATTCAATGGCACAGTATAAAAAAGAGAGCGCACAAATCTACAAACACGATCTAGCGCCATCCCTCTCCCTACCCGGATCTACCCACTAATCGTCGGTTCACATCTGCCGGTAATTTCTGCATACCCCTTACGGATTATCCGCACTGGCGACCCCACACAGCACAGCTCATCAGCGAAATGGACACATGCACTCCACGTGGGGGCGCCACGGCTAACACCACGGTCGCGCGTGGCTTGCAGGCTTGTCCGACTCGATTACGCCGCACGGAGGAAGCCCTGAGCAGACGCGCCGGCATTCCGGGAAGCGTACGGCGACGGACATTCTGGGGACGCGAGGGAGTTGCTCCACACCCCTCGGTTCACAGACACACATGTCGTGTTGACGTGTTGGATTATTACACCCACAGAGAGACATGTTGCAGTGTTTCCCCTGGCCAAAAAGGTCTGTGAGACCTGTAGTAAATTGTTTTGGCTGCGTTTGCGCGTTACGATGTCCTAGCCAGCTAGGGGGTCCATCAAATTTTGGAAAAAGAATGGTGCAATGTGGTGCTTTCTAAGCTATTTTGGTGCATTATAAGCACTGTTCTATGGAAGAATAGTGATTTTCATCCACGAGGCAGTGTTTTGGACAAATATCTGTGTGGCGGCTGAGAATTTGAGCGAGGTGGCCCGCCTCGCTCGCGTCAATGCAGGGGAAACACTGTGTTGTGTTGGCGGGTGCACCCAGTTCGACTCTCCTCGCCACTGTCGACCATCCTGCAAACCCACAAGCCCATGCTATCTCTCGCTGCCTGCGCAGTTCGCAGGAGGAGCGCGCGCATTTTCTCATTAAGCAGGTTAATAATACATGCGGTGCCTGCGTACCAACAGACTTAATTACCCACCTGTGCAGCTAACACTGCAACAATACACCCAGCCGCTTCAGTTAATGCTAACACGCTACTGGTCGGTGGGAGACGATGCGGAGGCAGGAGAGAAGAGCGTGGGTAACAAGTAGGTGGCAGACGAGAGAAGGACGTGTACAGGAAGAAGAAGACCAGGAGTCATGAGACGAGGAGGCAGGGGACAAGGACAGACAAACCGGGACACGGCGACGTGAGAATACCGAGAACAAGGGAGATGGTAAGCACCGAGATGACGGCACGCAACAGCGGACGACCGGGGAACGGAGGACACGGGTGGAACGCGGAAAGAGGAGGAGTCAAAGCAGCTCAGCAAACGCGAGGCCAGACACAAACACACGAGACGAATGCGCAAACGACACTCAATCACCCTCTCATGACAATCCAACCCCTGCGACGACCTGACCCCCCGTGACGACCCAACCCCCCGCGCAATGACACGACCCCTCGGGACGACCCAACCCCCGTGACGACCTGACCCCTCGCAACGACCCTACTCCCACGATTGCGTAGGGTCGCAATGACACGACCCCCCGTGACGACCCAACCCCCGTGACGACCTGACCCCTCGCAACGACCCTACTCCCCTGCGACGACCCAACCGCCCGCAAAGACCCCACCTCCCGTGACGACCTGACCCCCCCGCGCCATGACTCACCGATAGTATCGCGACTGCAGGTACGTCGAGCAGACCGCCTTCGAGACGTGACTCGCGCTGCCGAAGTCGATCACCTTGACGCGGTAGGGCGCCCTCTGCGGGTCGACGAGCATAATGTTCTCCGGCTTGAGGTCGGCGTGGATCAGCCGCAGCTTCTTCAGCTGCAGCAGCGCGGTGAGCACCTGCTGCATGATCGGACGGATGAACTTCAGCGGCAACGGCGCAAACTTGTTCTGCTTCAGGAAGTCGTAGAGATTCTGCTCTAGCATCTCAAACACAAGGCAGGTGTGGTTCTTGTGCTGGAAGCACTCGTACGCGCGCACAAAGTTGTACTCGTCCGCATTCTCGCGGCTCAGCTGCGACAGGATCGACACCTCGATCTGGCCCTGGCGCGCGTACGACGGGTGGTTCTTGAGGATCTTGATGGCGACGATCTCGTTCGTGCCCTTCTTCCAGCACTTGACGACCTGGCCGAACGTGCCTCGGCCGAGGAACTCGAGCACCTCGTACGCGGTCGTGAGGGAGTACAGCACCTCATGCTGAACGAGCTGGTAGTCTCCCTCACTGTTTGACGATGCCTTCGTCGTTGTGGCGGCGGCGGCGGCCGTGCGCGGCGCCGCGTCCTCCTCGGACGACGAAACCGTGTTCGAGTCGGCGACGTGAACCGTCGTGGCGGCGGCGCTGTCGAGGTCTTCGCTCTTACGCTTCAGACCGCATCGCTGGTAGGTGTCGAGCAGTTTTATCGTTGACGCACGGATGTAGGTCTGGGGCATCTCCGGCACGCGTACATTCCTCGATGTGGCGATGGCGGCGCGGCGGTGCGAGATGACGTTCGACGGAATGGTGGCGCTGGCGTACCGACTGCACGCGCTGCTGGTCGAGCTCACGGGAGCGAAGCAGTATTCCTGCGGCTCCAACTTCAGCTTCTTGTAGCTATAGAATGCGCTTGTGTCAACTCCTGGCGGGGCTAAGGTGAGCGCCCTCTGTTGCATTCCAACCTCTAAAGAAATAATGTCACACCCGCATAAAGTCCTCGCACGTGGGCTATGTTACGACTCGAAAAAATGCAGCACACCGACTAGAAAGTAGAATTCACAGACATTCTCCTTTTTATCTCGCCGGGAAAATACATTATCGACGTATTGTCACCCATCAATAATAATCACTAGAAATAATACTATGCATGTACACACGTGACATGTAAAATTACTACATAGATTGTTACAACACAACGGTACCTTTTATGTTTATGAACAATTATTGGGACTCATATCACCACACAAATGAACAAAAGTATATTGGTGTAGTGACTACGACAAAGAATAATGGAAAAGAAATTACTGAACTAAAGCTGAGCGACATAGACAATCCTTTGTACTGGTAACGGATCCAATACTAAATTCATAGTAAAAATAAACATATTACATTTAGTACCATATTTTGTCTATTAATGCAATTCATGTCGCCCAACTATTCCATGTAGAGGCTGAAAAATGCTCCTCTGTACAACACTCAATGTTACGGTACCACACACGACACTGTACACAGTTCCATGGGAGATACCCTCCGATACAACGTATACATGAGAATCTCACAACGTTTGAGTTGAATTATTATGAAATATATAGTATTTTGGTAGTAAATATAATGTGCATGTTTACCATAATTTTATCACTGAAACAACCCTATATACTAACGCCTGTGACCGGAGCAGGGTACAAAGTAGATACAATAATGTAACCCCACAAGAGTATGGTTACAAGGCGAGCCTATTCTTTTCTTTGGAGGAGCCCCTGAGTGATCGACTCAGGGTGGTTTTATGGTGCGTTTTTCGAGACTGTTCGGCTAACTTCGACTCCAAGATCGAATGTATCATGGGATGCCTGCTGTCAGTCATGACGTCATGACGAAGTTAGCCGAACGCTATGCACATTGGGAATCTGTACGTCACAGGTCAACAGAACTGGCGCTCGAATTGTCACTTCGAAATTTTGTAACAAATTATAACAGTTTAATACAGAGTATTGTGATACATAGTAAGTCCCAGGATAGCGGAGAAAGGTTCGTGTTTAGAATCAACCCAGTTTGGAAGTTGTAGTCTCGAAAAACGCACCGTAAAACTGTCCTGAGTGAATCACTCAGGGGCCTCCTCCAAAGAAAAGAATAGGCTCGCGTTGTAACCCTACTCGGTGCAAATCCACTTTAGGCACCTTAGGCTTAGGTATCACGAAGTGATGCACAGATTTCTGTGTATCATCAACTGATGCACAGACTTTTCGTATATCAAGGAATGATGCAAAAACCCTAACCCTAACACACTTCGTGATACCTAAGCCAAGGTTATACTTTATGACTTAGGGTTAGGGTTTTTGCATCATTCCTTGATATACGAAAAGTCTGTGCATCAGTTGATGATACACAGAAATCTGTGCATCACTTCGTGATACCTAAGGTGCCTAAAGTGGATTTGTGCCCCCTACTCTTGTTGGGTTACATTATTGTATCTAGGTACAAAGCTACATACACGAACGCTCGTATAACTAATTACAAGTGGACGTACGTTTTTAGCGATGAATACCCCTGTGGTATATATGCGTATCAGCCAGTGTATAACACGCAGGGAGAAAATACGATAAACGAGCGAATTATGTTACAGGCTCCCGAACCGAGAGAGCGAAAAGCAGGTCACCGAAACAAGTGCAGCATATGATAAGTGTGTGCGTCAGTCAGTGGATAATCAACTAGCCGATGACGCAAACGCTTACGACGCAATTATCTACTAGTACTAGAAGTAGAAACGATGAAATTCAGAATAACGTAGCGTCGTACTACATACCTGTCTGTGTCGCTAGTTGTGGCACCGTAGATCATTGACGCCAACCGTTCACCAGGACATCGACACAAGCACTGTTGCGGAACTGTGCGTTTTAGAACCGACCGAACATCCGACTTTTCCAGGAAACAAAGACAGGATTTACCAGAAGGTGGATTCCGACGTCGCATATACGGTACCAGCACTAATTTTCCTCGGAGTTGCGATTCCTTCGGCTTCTATGTTGCTTGATCTGTCGCCCGGACAGATTTCTTGTTACTTGTCTGAATGTTACGCCCAGTAATGTTGGCTCGTATGAGCCATTTCTCTTCACAGTAACATTTCACGTCACTGTCCGACGTCGAGTCGACTCGAGTGCGATTTTGCCATACACGGTGGCGCGGATTGAAAGGGAGTTCGGGAGTCAATAATAATTCATCGATTTTCCATGTTCAAGTGTAACATAAAAACACGCATGGCTCAAGAGATTCGTGTTAATACGCACGACTAATAATTGTTAATATATTATTTCCACATTAATTGGTAGAACTTAAGTACTAATTGGCAGTTAATTACGTTGGACGGGCATGTGTAAAAACTGGCCTCCTGTCGGGTCTCTAACTGATTGTCAAGTATAGCTATAGGAGCGCCGCCCGGTGTCCAGAAAAGACAGCTATTAATTGTTGCGAAAACAAAGGCCGTCTACGTCGTTGTTGAAGTATGCAGTCGCAGATATACAATACTGTCAATAGCACTGTGAAATTCTCACAAAATAGTCGCATCGCCATACATGTTGTGTTTTTATATATGTGCCTTAGTTTATCAGTGATAATTAGTATAGTTTTGTTAATATAATAAATTATATAAAGCGACGCGCGGTGGCGCTACTAGTACTAGTTAGTTACAGAATTACTTTCTCGTCGTCGGAGGCACGATGAGTTACCATCGTGGGATGGTTGGTCATGTTAATATTAATAAAAATACATCGTGGGGGGAATTTTTGAACTGCATTCAGTCCTCTCCAATCTGCGGCGACGTATTGAGATTGAAAAGTGGCACTAAAAGTTTGCTGGAGCTGTGCGAGGCCTACTGCAGGTATTGGTATTCACGTAACATAGCCACAAAAACAAAACATGGAAAATAAGGCTAAGAGGGTCTATGTCCCCCGGGGTACTGCCGGAACGTACCCTGGGTACGGTCCGGTATACCGGAACGTACCCTGGTACTATCTAATATTCCGGACCGTACCTCGCCTACTCCACTAACGAGTCTAGGGAGTCGCCTACGCCTACTCCCTAACCCGAACCCTAACCCTAACCCTAATACTAACCCTAACCCTAACCCTAAACCTAACCCTAACCATATCAAATAGTGACCAGGGTACGTTCCGGTATACCGGACCGTACCCAGGGTACGTTCCGGCAGTACCCTGGGTGACATAAACCCTATGAGCGAAAAGGCAGCCCATGCAGGCATGCTGTCATATGCGCAGTTGTGTAAATGTGTGGTGTTATGTTATGTGTTATGTTCTCGTACTTGTCGGTGTCCAGTATCTACTACACTGGATATAATGACAAGGTAGTAAGTGCCTTCAGGGATAAACCCAATAAACAAACGGGTGCATAATGATGTGAGTGCAATGCAACTGGTGTCCTTAAACTGTCTTTAATGTTGGTTCGCGTGCATGTGGGAGTGAAGCCTTGACTTAAAAATGTCAACGTCCGTTGCTTCCACAACACCCACGGGTAGGTTGTTCCAGATTGGAATCATCCGGGGAAAGAAGGAGAATTTGAATGCGTTGTTGTTGCAGTGCAGGTGCTGAAATTTGGGTTTTTTTTCCGATCTGGTACCTGACAGTGACATCCCCGAGATCAGATATCTATTCGCCGGTATTCCTATGTGGTGGTTTACAACCATATACATGCACTGGAGTTAAAGCGTCTACGATACATAATTAAGTTGTTGCCACCCGAGTTGGTCCTTAAGGGATGGTCCTTTGGTGTATGTGGTTGCCAACGATGGGACAAATATTGTTATATACATACTGTAAGGCCAAAACAAAATATGTGTGTGGTTACCGTTACATGCCGAAAAAAAATAGGGTAGGTAGGTAGGGAAAACATTTTATTTTCTTGAAATATTTTATTTACGAACCATGTCCGAAGGATGTGAATTGTGCCTTTTGAAGCAGGAACTGACCAATTCATATCACTGGCAGCAAGAACAAGTCCGCACCTGCAGCTACAGCATACACTCGGCCATTGACATATACTATATATATATATACATACTACATATATACTACATGGTGCCTAACTCGCCGTTTTCAATCAGTTACAACTCCGGTGTTCCTGCAGGTGACGCCACTTTCCAACTATTGTTGGAATCGCGGAAGACTGCTGAACAAGCTACACTTGCCATTTTTGGCAATCGGCCCATTAGAATGCGCTCAAATCACAGAAATTCCTTAAATATCCATGCGAAATGATCCTTAGAATGCTACCTATGAAGAAGGCGGCAGGGCCGGCTGCGCTGATTGGCTGCAGCAAGTTTAATGTGCAGACAGGCTGCGCAACTACGCAACTGACTTGCTGGCAGTTGCTGCAGCCAATCAGCGCAGCCGGCCCTGCCGCCTTCTTTATAGGTAGCATTCGAAGGATCATTATGCATGGATATAAATTTTGAGGAATTTCTATGATTTGAGCGCATTCTTGCGGGCCAATTGTCAAAAATGGCGGGTGTAGCTTGTTCAGCAGTCTTCCGCGATTCCAACGATAGTTGGAAAGTGGCATCACCTGCAGGAACACCGGAGTTGTAACTGATTGAAAACGGTGAGTTGTGGTTCGTGCGGCGGCGAGTTAGGCACCATGTAGTATATATATATAGTCAATGGCCGAAAGAAAATTGACAATAAACTGTTTAGGGTCGCTGGGAATAAATAGGGTCGGTCGGAAAACCGTAACCACACCTATATTTTGTTTTGGCCTAACTAGCGTTACTACATAACTCGGTGCAAATTCCCTTTAGGCACCTTAGGTATCACGAAGTGATGTACAGATTTCTGTGTATCATCAACTGATGCACAGATTTTCCGTATATCAAGGAATGATGCAAAAACCCTAACCCTAACCCTAACCCTAGCCCAAACCCTAACCCTAACACACTTCGTTATACCTAAGCCTAAGGTTATACTTTATGACTTAGGGTTAGGGTTAGGGTTTTTGCACCATTCCTTGATATACGGAAAGTCTGTGCATCAGTTGATGATACACAGAAATCTGTGCATCAGTTGATGATACACAGAAATCTGTGCATCACTTCGTGATACCTAAGGTGCCTAAAGTGGATTTGCGCCCATAACTCTAGTTCCGCAAACTGCCTATATCATATATGATGCAACTAACTATAAAGTATAAATAATGACTTGCACATGCGTGATAATAATTTGGCAGTGATAAATACGAAATTAAATTGACTAGTACTAGTAGTTTACAGTCATATGTTCATTCTGCAGCTCACGTATAGAAACGGAATGGTTGGCAAAGTTTAATGCCGAGCATCACAAGAAGTCTGCAGAAAGGTCTCTTCAGCTCCGGTTAGATGGAAATAAGGCTTTTGCGAAGTCAAACGACAAAGAAGCAATCGTCTGTTATACAAATGTATGTAAGCGTGATGAGATTATCGGTTACCTTTAATCTGTTCAAAACAAGAATTAAAAATTTTATGTTTAGCTGTCAACAAAATATGATGTGTGGGTTTGTAATTTCGTAATAATTTCACTTGGCCCGTGTGGTATATAACCACTTCTCGTGTGATAACAAGTACGACACTGGTTACACCGGCAAGGCATTTTAATTCATACATCCTCTCCACTCATCTCGTAACGATCTACGTCGATTTATCGCAGAGCATACTACAGGCGCCGCCGGCGTGCGACGGATGTCAGCTAGGGCTGGCCTTTGGTAATCGCTCAGCCGTGCTTGCTCGACTAGGGAAACAAGAGGCATGTCTCGTGGACATCGAGAATGCTCTCGGCGTCGCCGGCTACCCGCCCGGCAAGCGCCACAAGCTTTACACGAGGAAGATGCAGTGCCTTCTCTCTCTGGGTCGGCAGGAGGAGGGGCGTGCTGCGAAGGAGGAGGCATGCGAGGCGCTGCGTCACGTCGCAGAGGGCGCTGACAGAGGTGAGCTTGCCGCGACAACGCTCACCAAGAATAAGTGATATCGAAAAGTCCAGCTGTGCTATTTAGGTCATAGAAAAAGGGGGTATAAAATGGCCGCGGCGCGCTTAGGAAAATACATGATTAATGTAAACACTCGTGTGTGTTTAGTTTTTGAATTAACACAAACATTGCAAAATATCCCCAATGACCACAATCGTATTTGTAATTGTTTCTGTAAACAGAAACGCACCTGTGAATTGAAGTACGATGTTAGCGAAGAGAATTATAGATCAAAAACCTATACTGGTCCTATCCTAGCCATGTTATATATAGGCAACTTATCACCCGTCTTATCTGATCTCAATATGGCGGCGGGGACTTTCCTATGTGGCTTATAGATCTAGTGGTCTCTTGGTCAGAGGAGGCAGTGAGACGAGCATCAATACGCATACATAGATCGGGTTCCCCCGGGGCCTGAGGGTTGAGAATCAGATATTGCTTGTCATTTGGCTCTGTCCGAGGAGCGGCCTCTGTATTTCTATAAGTTTGGTTTCTTTGAAGGGACTTTTCAGAGTAAAGCTACTCGCTTTGAGCAGGTGAGGTTTTCGAGCTTATGCCGACACTCTAAACCCTAATTTAAAAAAACTCTCTAAACCGTCTCAGGTGAAGCAAATTAGGATAAAGTGCCAATGCTTGAGGGCACAGTAGCAGTCGCCAGCATGGTACCTGAACTCCAGACCCTTTCAGGGTTTCTTTACATAAGAGGCACAGTGGCGCTCCGCCATTGTAAAATTTAATATCATTGTCGTGAAAATGGTTTCAGGGTGCCTCAAATGCAGTCTAAGTCATTCAAATTTTTAGAATTTTGCTGGTAGAGACTCCCAGAACCCCACCAGCGAGAAGGAGACTCCCTTTCTCCCCCCACGTCCGCCTGCAGCGTTTGCATGCGTGCCTGAGGCACGCCTTTGAATCCAGCATGCACGTTTTTTTGCAAACTGGCCATTACCTCATTTGTCTAATTTTTCCTCAGAAGAAACCCTGCCTTTACCCCAAAGTTCCGAGTGATAAACATTAATTGGATCACCGCGTTCGCCTGGGAAAAGATTAATCATGTAATAATAATCTATTTCCAGAGGATGCTGCAGCGAAGATAGAAAATATCTGGAGCGAGTCTTCCTTTCCTACACAGTGAGTGTTTCTAGAAGCAATGAATGACTACAATTAGTCTGGTCGTGGCCATGGTCGTGGTCACTGGTTGTGGTCAATGGTCAGAGAATGTGTGTGTGATATTTGGTGGCATTGTTACACATAACGTTATCGAAGCGAGCAATTAAGGTTAGCAGGCAATGCAGAAGGTTATACATTAATCTTTAATTAATCATTAAATGCTCTCGTTTGGTCTGTTGTTGCTGTTACGTGGCATTAGTAGCATATGCTTTGTGGATGCATGCTATAGGTCAAAGATGCCAAAGCACGACCAACATGGAGAAAGCAGGGCCGTGCCGCCGCCGCCGTTCCTAGGGAGCAACAAGATGCTAGAGGGCGCCTCTGTAGCACTCGAACTAAGGGACAGTGATGATAGGGGGCGTTACATAACGGTGAATACTTACTGCTTAATTAAAGCGATTATTGCGGAAATTTTCCAGTGTTTTCCCCACTTTCATGATACCTACCGTTATTGCTTGAGTAACAGCAATTGTCTAGAGTAACAATAAAATCTCTTAGAACCTTCGAACCACCGAAAACTGCCAGTTTCAAACTTGTCGTTTTTGTAAACATTCGTTTTCTGTCATCTTGAACTAACAGGAACTATGCATTAGCTTGTGGCGCCATCGCTTATCTGCCATACCCACAGTGAAGGCAAGCACTTGTTTTCAATTCATCACCGACACAAATACAAGATTACCAATTCTGCCATTAGACATTGTCGCGACACAATAAAATGCATTGCTGTTACGATGTGTTCATATCCAATTTTCTATGCTATAACTCCATAAAATCTTAGTATTTTTAATGTTGGTGTAATCAGTGATATTTTTGCTGTCAGGTGAGACTATATTCAGCTATATTTAGTTTTTCTGAGCAAAAATCTCGCAATAGTCATTTTAATATAGCTGGCTCCCGTGCGATCGCAAGTTGAGCCAGCGATGGCAAACGAGTTGAGCTGAGTTTACTCAAATTACAAAAATTAGAACAGGGACAACTACATTGCGAATGAAATAGCGATTTTTAGCTCACCTTGACATCGTCAAGCTGAGCTATTGCCATGGGTCGTCATCCGTCGTCCGTCCGTCCATCAACATTTGGCTTCGGTCAACGATAACTCAGGAACCGTTTGACCCACATGTTTGAAATTGGGTGTAGTTGTTACTGCTATGCTCCCATATTAAACGTCCTATTTTGGAGCACGCCAGTCGGCGTACTTTCGAGCCACGGCGATTTTTTGGCAAAAATTGGAATTGCCATTAGTCAGTTCAGGTTCAACGGATTTTGCTCATTTTTGGTATGTGAATGAATAAGGGCTAGGGGTTTTGATATTTAAAAAAAAATTATGCAAATTAGGTAGGGTTTGGCAATTATATAGCATATTATATACTATGTATATAGACACAAACAGTGTGGTGTCACACTCGTCTGGTTCGTTTTACAAGATTTCATTGACAATATCTTAATAGCAAAATTGGTATTTCCTCTTCACGCCTGCCGATAAAACGTCTATATTAGAGTAAAGTTTTACAAAACATGTCGGAACGCAGCATAACCTATTATTTTCAAACGCTCATCGCAACAAGCGGGTATAGCGCCATCTACGGTCACAAATTGTGATTCATTTTGGTTTATAAATTATTGCGATATACAGATGGCAATCGTTTCTATTAATGTACGTCGATGGTTGCTAATTAAAACTGACTTCTTCTTACTCACTCATTTGTGTCTTTTTTCTGGGAGCTACAGTGTCATTGACACTTCATTTTAGTTACAATCAATCGAGAAAGGTCATACTAGTACTAAGGTCAACCGAGTGTGCGAGTGTTCCATTGCAGCTGAACACACGGGCAACCAGTTTGGATAGTTAAGTCGCGATTGGCAGGCGTCACCTAAGCTGGTCTTTATCCTCTATTTGCCAGCTAGTCTGGTGTCAATACCAGCTCTGTAGCCATCGGTGTCCGTTTCCTTTCTGCAGGCCAGGGATGCCGTCGCCGCCGGAAGACGTCCTCTTTGTGGAGAAGCCATACGCCTCAGTACTGCTGCAGGATCATGAGACAACGCACTGCCACACTGCTACGCCAGCCTTTCCTTATCCCGTCGGTAAGAGATTAAGCAGGAGGAGGTGGGTGTAATGTGGAAGGTTTCACTTTGATTAATATTTTTCGTATTTGGAGTCGTCGAATTGCAGATTTGTACCTTTCTATACTGTATGTGCTGCATGTGTCACAACAGTTCTATTTTCTAATTTGCGTTGTTATTGTTCCAATTTGATGGTGGGAAGATTGCGTTTGATTGTGTCCTTGTTTGCCCTCCAGGTGGTCGCGAGTGCACACAGGTTGCGCTATTAGCCAGCATGGCGTGCAGGGATGCCTCGTGGAATTCCTACCAAAGTTACGAGTGCTGCCACCTGGATGTTCTCTATGCTTGAGTGTTGCGTCGGATAATTTCTTCGGTCGAGCAGCTCCCTTCTCTCCTCGTCTCGAATATCCTCGAGAGCTGGCGCAGCGTTGATGCTTATAGAGGGGGTGCGGGCGAGCTTTGGCAACAATGAGGTGTACAGCAACTAGGGTTGACAGCAGTTCAGTCGCTTCAAAGCTGTTAATAACCAATGTGCAGGCGCATTAAATAAAATTGTAAATTGTATTTACTTGATAATCGCTGAAGTGTTTAAACATGCATGCACACGCCGCTGCAGGCAGGCACGCAGACCGCACGCAGCGCATGCTAC